GAAATGATACAGAAGGAAACAGTCGTTGCCTAGTTTAAGGCACCATCCTGGCATTTGCCTGGAGAGACCTAATAAAACCATGAAAATCCTCGGCCTAGCTTCTTATAGGGCACATCCCCCCCCCCAAAAAATCTGTAACGTTATCGCTTGAGGCAGCTTACTAGTTTACACCTCATCGTAACCCAGAAAAAAGACCTCACACTTCATACCGGAGAATCAGGCTGACCTTACGGAAGCCTTATGAATTTATAATCCAGCTTACTTTCTATGCTCACAAAGACAGCCTCAATATGGATGTTGCAACAGAGGAAATGCATTCCCCATTGTCTTTCTCTGAAATTTTGGTTACCTCGCTGAACATGACGTCCGTTTACTGCAGATACAAATCCTTGCTTTAAAGCGAATACATACGTCACGCTGCATAAAGATAAATTATTTATCTTTATATTTAATTAAACGTTCAATGGAAACTTTCACAGCTGTGAGTGTCAAGATTATAGCCTTCTGGAACGTGAAGTCATGTACACTGCTAAGGTAAAAAGGTAAAGCTGTCCCTGTGACAGGCCATGGAGGCCCATAGGGTTGTGAGACGTCGAGGCTCCCACATTTTCTAGACAGTCGGCTCAGAGATAATGTGAGGTTGTCAGCCTTAAGCGTCGGCCGCCCTTTACCCCCAGGAAGATTCCTGGTACTCATTTCTGTTAGAGGCCCCAGGGCCATAGAGAGGCTGGAAGGATTACGTCCATTAAAAAAATCCAGTGGCTTATCGGGAATCAAACCCGCGACCTTCCGGCTTGTAGCATAGTGCTTCAACCAACTACACCACCGCATGTCCCCACGTAGACTGGTAGAGAGGTGAAAATATTTCTTCTGCCCTGAAGATACAAACAGTGTATTTACCCTAAAACAGCCTAACACAGACTAAACGACGTCTCCCAGAGGACCTCAGTTATACCTAAAAATGTTTCAAATAGGAGCTGTAGATCTTCCTATTTCCGTCCGAAATTCTTTGCTTGAAATGTTAGCAGATTTTACGTAAACAGATAATGTTTTTGAGCTTCACATAATGGGCTGTTACACTGTACCAAAATGAAACATAACTGGGTCAAAATTCGCCCTACAGTGTACAGTACAGACGTCGCTAAATACCAATTTTAATCGAAATCAGCTCAGTAGTGTCGGATATTAAAGCAATAATCTAGTCATAATCTTTAAAATTTCTCTTAACTTCAAGAAGAGAGCCGGGATAGCTCAGTCGATATATCAACCAACTACCGGCTGGACGACCGAGGGGTTGGAGTCCTAGTCCCGGTAGGGTCACAAATTTTCTCTTTTCCACGTCGTCCAGATAGGCTCTGGGGCTCACCCAACCTCGTGTCCAATGGGTACCGGGAGCTGACCACTCACCTCCAGCTTCCAGCCGCACTATGGCCCTGGGGTCGACTCAGCCTCTAACAGAAATGAGTACCGGGAATTAATTAAATAATTTTCCTGGGGAGTATAGCGCGGCCGGTGCGTAAGGCTGACAACCTTACCGCCATCTGTGAGCCGATTGTCTAGATAATGTGGGACCCTCAGCGTCTCACAACCCTATGGGCCTTCACGGCCTGGTACAGGAATAGCTTTACTTTACTTTTACCTTAACTTCAAGAAGGCATACCGTATCACCGCTACGTACATCGGCCAGCTATTCATATTACGGTCGCTATGTGCTTCGTGACCCTAGCAAAATCCACAAAAAAATACCGATAGAGAAAGTGCCCAGTTAGTGGACGTTAAAGCACGAGATATACGTAATTACAGCAGTGCTGTAGAACGTTGTAAACTTCCAAATGGTCATTAGCAGGGCCCGGATTTTGATGACCTGAATATATTTAAAAAATGACCGAAGAAATCCACAAAAATTACCTAAAATATGACTCAAAAATGTAATATACAGGGCCCGGATTTTTATGACCTGAAAATATTCAAAAAATTATCTATAAAATAACCGAAAAAAAAATCCAGAAAAATGCCCTAAAGAGAAAAGAAAGAAAAATAGCTTCCATGTTATTCACATTTCAGAAAACATATGAAGAAAAATTCCCTAAAATGGGCAAAAATGACAATAAATACCCTTAAGAGTAAAAAATTTACCAAAAAATTACCCCAAAAATGAAAAAATGACCTTAAACCTAAAAATGTCAAAAAATGACAAAAATTACCTATAAAATTTACATTTCTGTAACCAGCAGCTCATATCCGAGATTTATATATTTAAGAGCATCGCATAGGATACAAGGAAAAAAAGATGACATGTCATCAAAATCCGGGCCCTGGTCATTAGAAATGTATGCGCTACATGCTCGTCACAAATGTGCCAGAATTGTTAGTTGCAGAGCGTAGCAAGGCATGAAAACAAGGACTTTGGAATTACGTCTACTTGTTTCAACCGAACAAGTTCAACAATGCTATATACATATATTGGCCGACTTATTCATTATTAGGGTCTAGTTGATTGTTATGCATTGTATACACGAAATGAATACAACCAATGAAAGATCATGTCCATCAATAAGTCTGTCCGCATGTTCAGCGTTATAGCATTAACAGCCAATGACAGACATACTGAGTGAGATTACGGTCTTCTGGGACTTGCCGCCGCGTAGTTTGGTAAATAAATATCAAGGTATAGGAGGAAACCCCTGCTGCCATGTTCAGGGTATGGGGAATATGATGTAAAACAGTTCTGTAGATTGGTAGAAACGTTTCATACTAAACTGCTGCCTCAATCGTCAGGGTAGACAAGGAATGTGCCGTCGTGTAGTTTGGTAGATGGGTATCAACGTTTCAGAAGAACGTGCTAACTCCATCTTCAGGCTGAATATGGGGCACATGGCTCTTCCGGATATTGGAATCATCTACCAAATTACACGGCGCCATAATCCAGTTATGGCCATGAGAGTTTCAAAACTCACACGGTAAAGGTAAGGTTATCCCTGGACTCCATTAAATAAACACCACTCTAAGAAGACGTAAGGGGGAGTGGATATATAGCTCAACAATTATTAATCTCGGCATTACATGGTGGAGAGTGGTCAGCTTCACGACCCGGCCGCTTTACTCCCAAGAAAAGAAACCCCCTGTACCCATAGTAGAGAAGACTGTATGGGCCCCAGAGCCGGTCTAGATGTTATAAAGAAAAGTATCTCGCCCCTGCAGGGAATCGAATCCCGACTCCTCAGCCGTCAAACCCCTAGCCTAGTCGCAACGCTGCGATATTTCGTGTCCTTTAGCATCTACAGGGAAGCAAGTTAATGTCTTATGTAATTGTACCGAATAAACTGATGCTTGATTAGAGTTGATTTTGCAGAATAGTGATGTATACAGATTTGCGTGCCTGTAGAAGAGTGCTCGAAAGGTACGAAATAATGATTGATCAACATTTTTTCTATACGTTTCGAAAACTCTGTGAATTTAACATCCGTCTCCTAAAAGTCGGTATGGTTAGCACATGCCAGTCATTAATTTGTAGTTACAGATTAACAGTATTAAGATTATAATGTGATTATTGGATAAACTTCTAAATATACACAACTAATTGCATGTGGCAGAATCCTTTTTCAAAAGCTATCAGTTAATCATTAATGTCAGGACCGAAGAGAGATGAAGTGAGAGGAGGTTGGAGAAAACTGCACAATGAGGAGCTTCATAACTTGTACTCTTCTCCAAGTATAATTAGAATGATCAAGTCAAGGAGGATGAGGTGAGCAGGGCATGTAGCACGAATGGGAGAGACGAGGAATGCATATACGGTATTGGTAGGAAAGCCAGAAGGAAAGAGATCACTGGGAAGACCAAGGCATAGGTGGGTGGCCAATATTAAAATGGAGCTTAGAGAGATAGGATGGGATGGGATGGATTGGATAAATCTGGCTCGGGATAGGGACCAGTGGAGGGTTCTTGTGAACACGGTAATGAACCTTCGGGTTCCATAAAATGCTGGGAAGTTCTTGAGTAGCTGCAGAATTGGCGGCTCCTCCAGAAGGGCTTAGTTCCATTAGTAAGTAACAGTTAATCACTGAGTCAAAAAAACTCCCCCCCCCCCTTTGTGGAACCCCAAATTTCATTACTGTTCACAAGAGCCCGCCACTGGTTTCTATTCGTAGCCGCATGGATAGAGTCCATATCCACTTAACCGATTCTTTTAACAGAGTCATTTTAATGTTATCCTCTCATCTATGTCCAGGTCTTGAAAGTGGTTCACTTCCTTCGGTTTGTCCGCTCGAAACTTTTATGTACTTTGCTCCCCTCTCATGCGTGCCACATTCATCGCCCATCATATTCTCGCTGTTTTGAGCGCCCTAATAAAATTTAACGATGGATATAAAATGACAAAGTTCCTCATTATGTAAATTTCTCCGGCCTTTTGTTGTTTCTCCCCCTCTTCACGCTTAAATATCTTCCCCAGCACCCTGTTCTCAAACACCCTCAGTCTATGTTCTTTCCTTGTGAGAGACCAAGTTTCACACTCGTACACAGCTGGAAAAATTATATATATTATTTGTATTTTAATCTTTACTTCTTTGGACGGCAGACTGAATGACAACTGATTCTAAACTTAACGGTAGCAAGCATTCCTCCCACTTAATCTGCTCTGTAATTTCTTCGTGATGCAGTTTTGATTTGTTCGTTATGCTCCCAGATAAGTGAGGTCTGGCAAGTAACATAGCGTTAAACTGAATAAACACAGCAATTGTGGGCTTTCTTTTATCGATTTCTAACAAAATGGATTAGTCAGTTTCGAAATACGGAATCTGTTAATGTGGAATGACCGGATGGCTGTCAATAACTGAATGAGACACGGGTAGAACCATGGCGCTATATCTTCAGGATCCTGGATGCTGCGACTTGTGGTTAGGTAGCTTCTCTCGGTAAGCCAAGCGACGTGGCCAACGGCTCCCCCCACATTCCACTCAAGATAGAAAGAGAAAGACAGAGAAAGGAAAACAACTTCTCACCTGGAATTTGGTTCGAAGGTGAACTCATATTTTTTAATCCAAGCTTGTTGAGTAACTAGTCATCAGGTGTCATTCACTTTCATTTCTAGCTTATACACACTCACTTCGATCTGTATTCATTCACAATGCAAACACACGCAAATTACATGAGCACAGTTTTATGATATTAATTATGTTTGGTTAGCGGTCTCAGTAACAAAACAAACTTGGCGCGCCTGCGAGCTCACACAGCGCTCTTACAACAAGCGTTTCGCGTCGTCTCGACAGCAGCGACTGCTGAAATAGCATCTACAAGGATTAACGGTCAGCCTCCGGTAACTGTTCGTTAAATTTGGGCAATATGGCCGCGGTGACGTCACAAAGCGTTATACCTGCCATCTCTACGCAGACGTACCCTAACTAAATGAGAAATGGCCACCAGCACTGACAGCATGATCAATAAAATAGAATGCTACCATACCATTCTATGCGACCTACGCACCCCTCCTCTACCCCCCTTCCCCATCGGAATCTCCTGTTCACATTAATAGCAATAAATAATTTTTCAGCCATATCACTTGTGCAGCAGAGATTCTTACTAACTAACTAATCAAAAAAATAGACGACAGAGAATTCAAGATTCGATTTCCGGCTGAGGCATAGATTTTTCTCTCTTCCAAAGCATCAAGATCGGCTATCCAGCCATTCCAGAAAATAAAACTGCCAGCACGGAGCTGACCACTAACCTTCATCTAGCGCAGCGGTTAGGAATGCATGGAGATATGCCTCCTTTCCCCATATGCATTCCCAGAGTAGTGCTTAATTTAGCCCAGAAAGAACTGTACATTTTACGTTCATAAAAGAACACAGACGTCACACTGTGACTGCTGTTACTCCTGCCCCGTAAATGGATAGTACCGAGTTCGAATCTCGACCTGGAGGTGAGTTATCCTGGCTGAGATTTGTTCCCGTGTCTCCTTAGAACTTAGGGGCAAATTTTAAGGTGGTTAATGTAAACTTGACATACAGTGCAATAAGGAAGATAAAGTAGAAGGCATCTGATGATGGCCATATACAGTCGAACCATCTAATGTGGAAGAAGGGTGACTATACAATAAGTTGCATTTGAGACGGAAATGTATATGAAATAAATGATATATTAATGCAACAGGATGGTAAAACACAATATTAGGAAAAGAAAACATTGGGTGCATCCATTCTTCTGTGACAATTTAAACTGAGGTGCTTATATTGTCTCGAAGGAACTTAACCTGGATCCAGACTCCATCGTCTCATGAGAAATTCTTTCCCTAGTCAAATTTATTTTGTCTTGCCTAGCATAGTCTGGGTGGAATTTATCATATATACCAGGATTTTGCTCAGTTAACTGCACAAAAACAAAATTAGCAGCTTCGTAATCCTTTCGTGCCATCGTCAGAAACAAATGAATCACTGACGCACGTTATAGTACAGCTGACACTAGGACACCACGCGGCAACGCAATTGCCAGAGGACTGGCATTCTCGGTGCCTGGAATTTGAGTTTCTGAGTCTTTCCGCGAGTTGCATTGCCGTTTCCTCCATTTGCGCTGCTCCATTTAGTAACATGTGTTCAACTCAGTCTGATAACAGTTCTCAGAAATTTCGATTGCGTTGCGGTTGTCAGTTTCCTCGGTGTGCCCCCGTCCTTATTCTGTCATTCTACCGTCGGACGCTATGTAGTCTCGATGCTGAAAGTGTCGTTAAATAATAAATGGATGACAGCAAAGCCAGAAACTGCTAACAAGACTATATTTCGGAACTATGCCTGGTATTCAGTATGTAACTGTGTGGTCCGTGGTGTCTGCAAATACAACTAACTACGTTTACATTTCCCTACAATAAACTGAGGTTGTTTTCCATAGACCTGTGTTTCATACTCGGTGAACAGTAAGCTCCTCAGGAATTCTGAACTCACACACAGTACCGAGTCATCCCGCTTTTCCAAAATGGCGGAAGGTCAGGATAGTTCGAAGAAAATTAATCTTACTGTAAAAACACCGAAGGAAAAACAGACTATCGAAGTAGAGGAAAATGCGTCAATAAAAGATGTATGTATGGGTGTTAGTATATATAGTCTGATACTTTATACTCTAAATTTTGTGATACAACAAGTTGATGACGAAGCCACTTTGCAATCTGCCAAAACGAAGTGTTTTTCATTGGTGTTATATTGTCATGTAACAGAGATCACAGCACCTTTTTAATAGTTTTGACAGTTGTGTGATCCCTGTTTTAAAATATAAAATAATAGGTCTCATGGTGCTTGTTAATTTGCAGTTAGAAATAAGTCGAAGCCCATCGTACCTTCGTACACGATGGAAGACGCAACATAACCTAATGACACTGCTTGAAATATTTATCATTTTATTTTAATGTATATATTTCGTTTATAGTTTTCTATCATTGCACAGCCACAGAAGTTGTACAGTTTGTACCTTCATTATTATTTGTAGTCAATTCGGGTACTTTAAGTACAGTTTTTGAGTGTGTGTATATAAATGAGACCAGAAACTTATTACACCCTTTGTTGCATAATTTGTCGTAATTTTCTAAGAATTGTGGGCCTAAAAATTGAATTGTAACAACATAAAACAGAGTTTTACATGCCATAAGCTTGCCAGTAGAAATGTATAAGTAATGTTTCATTGTATTTTAATTGCTTGATGTTGTATTAGCATTATGCTGTATGTTGAGAGGCTTGAGGCGGAGGGATTGTTATAGTGCAAATTCCAATGGCAGCAGCTATCCAGATACTGTTTTCATAGCTTTCTTCAGTTCTTTGAGCAAAATCTGCCCATTGAGTTGTGGATTGTTTAACTATGTTGTTTCAACTGCTGAGATTTTATAGAACAAATGAGAAATAAGATCATAAGATACTGAATAATATATAAGGAGGATAGCATTCCTATTTTAATGTATTATTCCAGCATTCAGATGCACAGAATGACAAAAGCTAAGTTGGAAATTGAATTTCATAATACGTGTGTGAGGGTTAACATTAAATTAAAAATTGTATGACTGTGTAGTCAAAATAATTTTTTATTTTATTTTCTCTTTGGAGAGAAGTCCCTTCCCTCTTTGTCTTTTTCTTTACTATGGCCTTACATTCCCCTTTCTGTTAACATTCACATTCTGTCCTTACAAATAACAGCCCGGTTATAGTAGTAAATAATATAATCAACCAATTGTGTTCCACCTATTACGTCCTTTTGCAGATTGCTAAGTGAGTTATTAGATAGTCTTGGTTATCTCAGTGTCTTTTGATATTTTCTTTTTCTTACAGTTTAAGGAACTGGTTGCAAAAAAATTCAGTGCTGAACCTGATCAGTTATGTTTGATTTTTGCTGGGAAAATTATGAAAGATCATGAAACTTTACAAACTCATAATATTAAGGATGGGCTGACTGTGCATCTTGTGATTAAGACTAGCTCCCGAACATCTAACGATCAGACAGGTTCGGGGCCACAACCAAGAGCACCAGGTAATATTTCTTTTTAATATTATTACTTCACCCCAGGAAATGCCTTGGTCACATGTCAGACAACAGATAACAGTAGCAAGTACATAGTTAGCCTTCATCTAAATATGTGGGCAAGTGGATCTTGGTAAGTGGCTAGATTATCTTATTTGTATCAAAAATATACACCATGTTGAGAGTGTAGGCTCATTGGGCATTGATTTTACTGTTGGCAGTTTCCTGTGAAGGGGCTGTGTCACTTGCTGAGAAAAATGCTGCCGTATGGCTGCAAGTGCTAGCACGCATTGTTTACTTTTTTCCTTAATTATTAATCAAATATAGTAATTAATATTGTACTCACCATCATAGAAGGTTTTGAAAATTTCTGCCGTCTGCTGTGAGGCATGTCCAAATTCTTTGAAACAGAAATGGATCTCACACCAGCCACAAAAAAACAGAACAGAGCACAATAGAAAGAAGCTTCTATGACACTCGATGGTGTAACACTGACTGACTCACTGATCAGGTGATTGCTGAATGAATGACCTCAATTTTGTGGGGGATCTCACAATGTCTGCTGATACAACATTCTGAGAAACTCCCTGATATCTAATAAGCCTGCACAATGAACACTTTGTGCATGACTATAATTTTACTAAAAGGCCAGGGAAAGACATTTGGTGTAAAAAGGAAGACATAACAGTGGACTGGAGAAGAATACATAATGAGGAGCTTCAGAATTTGTACTCCTTTCCTTACACTGTTAATCTCTTTGGTCTATCATTGCACTATTGTAATGGCATATGCTCTGGCCGAGCGTAGTGTTAAGCCGGGCTGTAGTCAATTCAGGGCAGCACCTGGTGGTTTTGAGTGGCTGTATTCTGCCCTGACACATGTTGTAAAAATAATGAAACATAAGTTCTTACAGCTTCCTTCATTTTTTTATCTCTTAGGTGGAAACATCAGCTTCATGAAGTATACACATCTCACAATCTGTCTGTTGTTTATTTCTGAATCAAGTGTAAACATTATTAGGTAACAAGAATGGCTTCATTTCATGATTTATGCCCATTTCTGCTAACCTGAAACTTGAGGCTGTGGCACCCTGGAAGTTCAGTTTTCAGGACTGTGCCTTTGGTATCGGGGTATTTGAAATTCTTCATTCTAGGTGATAAAGGTTAAGTGATTAAGGATTCGGTGGGAACCGTTTCTAGCATATATTGGTGAAATGAGAAGGGTTGCTTATGTAGGTAATTAGCAAGAGCTAGATGTCAGTAATTTGATTCTCAGCTGGGATAGGAATTTACTGTGTAGTTCACACAAGGTGGTTAAAGATCCAGGGTTTGTAGCTGACCCTACATTTTCTCTGAAGTGCTAAGGTTAAGCATGTGTATTATACCTCCACTCCCCTATACATTCACATGGAACAGTGCATACCAGTAATTAAGCGCAGGGATTTACTTATCTTTACCTTATTAATGAAATGAGAAATACATGTCAGGCTGTGTTCGGAAAACTTAAGGGGAACAGACTACTTGCAAATGCAGGTATTCATGGCTGGATAATATTAAAAAGGATTTTTAAGAAGTATATAGAATTCTGCTGAGTCATGATAGAGTCCACTGTGTACATTGGTGGATGTTAGGATTCTATAAAGGCAGCTGACTGTTGAATGTTTAAGGAACTTTGGAGTCAGGTATCATCTGTCGTATGGACCATGTTGTTACCTTTTTATTTTTCATTGGATTTCATATGTTTATGTGTGTGTATATGTGCGTCCATGCATGCATGCGCACATCATGTCAAACTTTGTACACATCGTGGATACATTCATTCTTGTATGAAGGAACATCATAAATTGTTCTTACCTTCTGGCAATCAGGGGAATAAAATATTGAAATATAAAATCATCCATTCCAAAGTTTACGATAGTATTAATATGTCTGTTTTATTTCATAGTTTCACTCTGAAGGTACTTTGCTGTTTAAAATTTCTTTATTTCACATTTCTTTGGTTAAAATTTACAAATTCAAAATCTTAATTAAGCAGGTTCAGAATGGTTGTAGTAAGAATTTGCTGAAGATTTCTGCTGATAATGCACTGCTGAGTCTTCGTAGAAGTGATAATCATCGCTTTTTAAAATAATTTTAAATTTATTCAGAGTTTATCATTGGCTGTTGTAGTAATGCAGTGTAACATGATGGATTGTAATGTTTCTGTTTCTATGCTGGTTACAAACGCTTTCATCAGATCATCCTTTCCATTTGTATATATACTTTGTCCCTAGGCATGCAACAAATTCATGCTGTAACATCATCTCCACAGCATCATTTAAATTATCACACTCATACTTATTGGTTTCTGACATCATAGATAAGGCACATTACAGTACTTCATTTATTAAATTTAAATATCATACAGAGTGATCAAAAAGTTGCACAAGTCATACTGTCCGTTTGCATTTCACACAAAAAGATAATGTGCAAAACGTGCAAATGTATACATATGTGTACAGTGTTGATTTCATGGCCATAAGACACCTACTGGCAATGTTATTGGTGTCAAGTAAATTAATAGTGTGATGTACATAACTTTTTACCACTGTGTATAAAGAAAATAGTGGCTCTGGTCTAGAAAACTGAGAGTAACGGCCGTGCGGATTTGTTGTGCTGACCACGTTGGTGTAGTTTGCTTGCAGACTAAAACCATGGAGTTCATTTTTTTTTTGTGCGTATAAAGAAAGTAGTGTGAATGTTGGGAAACGCTTGTGGACTACTTGCTTTTCTTTCTATAGCGGACATTAGTGCAACACCCTTTGGTCTTGGCTCGCTGGGTGGTCTGGCAGGTTTGGAGAGTCTTGGAATGGGTTCTGCCAACTTCATGGAACTCCAGCAACGCATGCAGAGAGAACTGCTGGGAAATCCAGATATGATGCGGCAGGTTCTAGATAATCCCTTGGTACAGCGATTGATGAATGACCCTGAAAATATGCGAAATCTTATCACATCTAATCCACAAATGCAAGAACTTATGGAGGTAATTATTCTTAAGAGCGAATTTATAAACATATCCACATAATAAGACTTTTTGTTTCTTTCAGTTGGAGATGGTTTCATTCAATTTTTCTGCTTGACTTTAGATCAGTAGAATTATAATAGTTCACACTGAGTAATCTCTTGATGATTGTGAATGATACAGAGTGTCATTATACAAGGTGGTTCAAACATAACCAGGACTGATTTGTGTGTAAACAAGCAGCACTGTGCAGCAACTGTGTGACCTTGAGAGAATGTAGCTACAACCTACACCCTCCCTCCTGTTTGGGTTAGAACCTCTTCAGTCCTCTGGGGGTAGCTAGAGTGATGAGCGAACAGAAGGCACTGCGGAGCGTGGAACAACGCATTGTGAGCAAATCCCTTGGAGAAAATGTCTCATCCCCTGAAATTCACCACAAACTCCAACAACAGTATGGGGAAGAGTGTCTCTCACCAATCCGTGTGTTCGAGTGGTGTAAGTGCTTCAGAGAGGGCAGAGAGCGCATAGAGAATGAACCACATGATCGTCGGCCTCAAACATCCGTCACCGAGCCAAACAGTATTCGTGCAGACATGCTTATTCGTGAAAATAGGCACATCACTATCAATGAACTTGGATTGGTGCTGTCCATCAGTGTTGGCAGTGTAGAAGACATTGTGAAATACTACCTGCACTATCGCAGGGTGAATGCACGGTGGGTACCACGCACTTTGACGGACGTGAACAAAATGGTGCGGATGCAAGCTGCCAGTCATCTCCTAAAACAGTTTGAAGACGAAGGTAATGCATTTTTTAAGTCTGTAGTGACCACCAATGAAACATGTGTGCACTATTTCATTCCTGAGTCCCAGCAGTCATCACGCAAGTGGTGGCATACCAGTTCTCCCAACCCAAGAGAGCGCAGAGGAGCCGTTCGGCAGGAAAAGTGATGGCAACGTTCTTCTGGGACTGGCAGGGGCTTATCCACGTAGACTTTCTGACAGATGCCAGAACAGTCAATGCAGCTTATTACTCAGATCTCCTGGCAACAGACGTGAAGGAAAAGATCCGATCCAAGTGGAAGACAGGTGGAAAGCAGGTAGCCTTCCTTCAAGACAGTGCACGCCCCCATACGGCTAAAATAACAAGGGAAACCCTCTGATTTGGCCCCAAGTGATTTCAACCTGTTTGGAAGGCTCAAATGAGACTTGCAAGGCATGCGGTTTGTGGACAACGATGCCGTCATCCAGTCTGTTCGGGAGTGGATACACCGCAAACCACAAGCCTTTTTTTGAAAAGGGCATCAGAACGCTTCCAGAACATTGGAAAAAATGTGTTGACTCCGGAGGGGTGTACGTTGAAGATGACATGTGCAAGTAAGTGTTCGGAAATTATGGATTTAAAAAAAAATCAGTCCCGGTCATATTTGAACTGCCTTGTATCGTCGGTCTAAGAACAGCAGTGTGTGTTTGCCATTATGACATTCTCATACTGTTTCAGTGGAGATGGGATGACAAAATGGTCTGTCTAACATTTACTATATTTCAGTCCATATAAACAAGTACAGTAAATTCAAGTTAGCAGTATATGAGATCATGTTTTGAACGATAAATGCATAAGGGAAGAGGAATGGTGAAAGTTTGCTTTCTGTTGCACGAGAATTGTGGGCAGTACAGAAGTTCAAAGTTCATTTTGTGTTCCGTACAAGACTAGGTCGATTGCTCCTATTACTATTCCATAAAAGCATTAGGCTCTTAAGCCCCAATCACATTACTTGAAAGTGGAAATTAATTTTGTCGTATTACATGTTTATAGAGAAACCCTGAGATAAGCCATATGCTAAACAACCCAGATCTTCTGCGACAAACTATGGAGTTGGCTCGTAACCCTTCCATGCTACAAGAATTGATGAGAAATCATGATCGTGCCATTTCTAATTTGGAATCTATTCCTGGTAAGTTATATTTGATATGTCTTTATAGTGTGTTTGCTTAAGTGCAGGGACAGTTGTACTTTTACCTTGAAAAATTATGCCCTAATTGATGCCTTGACTTAATTATCTCAGGATAGGATTCAGTAGAGGGTGTTTCTGAATATGGCTATGAGCCTTCAGTTTTCATAAAAACAGTTTAATTGGTATGGACTCTGCAAGAAACATTCTTTATCGTGGGTGACTTAATTGTTGAATTGTGTAGTATATTATGGGTTAGTTCACTGGACTTAGTGTTAATATAAATTACATTAATTAAGAGCAATTAAGTACAAGCTGTAAGTAAAGAGTGAGCAGACAGTCACATTTTTACATTCACAAAGCTCATTTTTGCTGTGTGGACAGGATGTAGCATTTGTTACATTGTTCTAGCTACAGTGGTGTGTCTTTGGTAATCTGAGATTTGACAGTTAGTGCAAGCTATAAATAAGTGGATCAGCCAAGGACCCAAGCCAAACTGATTATACATCAAGCTGCTAAGGCCAAAATTCACACAGCAAAACTGTATCATTGTGAAATATAAATATCTGGTGAACTCCCAAATTTTGAACTGGACCAGTAAGGCCTGTTTCAGGGAGGAGCTTGCACTTGAAAGTTTTGGCTCAAAGAAGCTCATTGCTTCAGGGAGCTCATTCACCAAAGTTAGTCGTGTTCCAAACTTGTGCATTTTTAAATTTTATACAAGTACTAGAAAAAATGAAGTAAGTTGTCAAAAAATTGAAGTGATACAGGGACAAACAATATTAAGGAGTGATCATTAAACAGGTTAAATAACTAATTTGGCACAAGAACTCAAAAGTAGACATAAAAAAACCTTGCATAAAACTTTGATGGTGTTCATGCAAAGTTATCAGCATAAGTTTCTTCGTGTCCTGCCAGAGTGAGGCCAGATACAACCTAAGGCTAGAGCTCATCTCTACCAATACCTGAGTAGACGCACTAACCCAGATAACTCACCTGAGAAGACCTTGTCCTCATTGTAAGCTATGCACGTACGCTTACTGGCACCCAACAATCACTCCCTACTTTCCCAAATACATGCCCATTCAGCGACAAGGAGTGGAAGGTGAACAGAGTGACAACCAAGGAGTGATCGGGAGGTAGGGGCAGTGCAAGCTGAGACTCATAAAATATGGAGCAGTCACAGAAGTGGGGCTACAATAAGTGGAGGGTTGGTGATAAATACCATGTAGTTCTTTGAAAGTTAACCAACATTTTGGAGGAACACACTACCTCCATCTTTAGTTGTCAAAGAATAAGCTGAAGGTGGAGGCGATGTTTTCCTCCAAAGTATCAGTTGGCTTTCGGCAGATTATGTGGCGGTGTATCTCAGAAGGTAGTACTTTTCATAACCACTGTTGTTAGAACCTCAAATCCTACATGTGACGAAATGTTTGTGGTTGAGTGGGCATCGTTCCATCTTTATAGTAACATTGTTCTAGTTTAAAATCTTGGCACAGAGAACAGTTATCGTGACAGATTTTCTTCAGTCCCTCCATACAAAGTACCAGGATCATACCTTAAATTAGGGCATGACCATGTCCTTCCATATCCTCCCCGCTTCATTATTTAATAATAATCAAGTCATTCCGATATTGTATCATCTAAGCTATTGAAAACATTGTCAGATAAACTGTAAATAAATAAAATGATTATATGTGTTAAAAATAGGAAGATAGATAGCAATCATGACCTAGAATCCAAGAGGTGGTAAGAGAGGGATATTTACATCCCATTTTTAGAACCACTTGTGGTTGTTTACAGGTGGTTATAATGCTCTTCAGCGGATGTACAGAGACATTCAGGAACCAATGTTAAGTGCAGCCAGTGAACAGTTTGGAAGAAACCCATTTGCAGGACTGGTGGAGAGTGGTAGTAACGCTGGTATGAAATACATCTCACGTATAGATTCAATGACGTAACTGTTCTACAGATGTGTTCTTTATATTTTTTTATATATGCTATTGTCTTTGACCTATATTTACCAAACCTGTTGCCCAAGTATTTACTTAAATGGAATGCAAGGCAATCTCCCAGTATTCATAGTTGAAAAAAACAAAGAATTGTCTTGATTTTTTTTCTAAAACATATGTCACTATTTCAAAATGTTTTAAGCTTGTAGTTTTTAATATTTTTTTAGATTTATTGTATGTAGACAGCTTCTGTGGTCTAATGGTCTTCCTGGCTACAGATCCAGACGTCCCGGGTTCGATTCCCGGCGCTACCAGATTTTCTGAGAAGTAGTGGGTATGGAACGGGGTCCACTCAGCCTTGTGAGGATAATTGAAGAGTTACCTGAATGGAAAAGTAGTGGCTCCGGTCTAGAAAACTGTGATTAACGGCTGTGGGAATCCATAGCACTGACCATGTGACACCCTCTATCCACTAAAGTTGGCATTCACTTTGGCAACAAGCGGAAGTCACTTGGTTGGTGTAATTCACTTGCAGACTAAAGGCCATGGAGTCTGTTTTTGTAGTTTATTATGTGCTACACTTCACACATCATGCTGTCAGTGTAGCAAGCACTAGAAAGAGGTAGACATACTACAGAACCGGAACCACGAGCTTCTTTGAGTATGCAAAGTATCTGGGGACAGGACCTATCCTGCCTGAGATTATTCATTAAGTTCCCTTGTTCTTTTAGGCAAATTGTGGGTTAACACCTTAAATTAGGCCCAGAAACTTCCTTTCACATTCTATTTAATTCAGTATTCACTGTTGTTCATCCACTTAGCACTCTGTAGTCTTGAGTTACTGACAGTGGCATTAAATACATTATAAATAAAATAAAAATATAAAAGGACAAAGCATTCCACAAATACTCATGACCAGATATTCTGCTCAGAGTCAAGGGTGATTATCAAAACTCCAGAAGATACTGCAAAATGCTGAGTGTGAAATTAGTCACCAGATAAGAGTATTGTTTTGACCCCAATCACATATAAATCTAGTATTTGCATATAGCTGAAATAACATTATTTATCTATTTTTCTAAATGTTTCAATATGTGTCAGGGTGCATATTCTGTGTCTTTAATCAAAAGTCTTTGTAAAACGTAATTTTCTAGTAACAGAATAGTCATATTGCATTTCCCCTAGGTACTGGGTCGAGAATGAAAATGATTTTGTAAAACTGATTCCCTCCCCTAGAATTTGTTGTGTGTGGATGATATTGGGAGACAAACATGTACCCTTATTCCCAGAAAGTAAGAATCAGAATTGGACTATTTTAATTCCAAAATCAAGTAAACAAATCAGTAAACTTTTCAGATGGTACAAACCCACAGCAAGGGCAGGAAAATCGTGATCCTCTTCCAAATCCTTGGTCAGCTGCTGGGGGTGAAACTGGTGGGACAGGTGGTAGAAGTGCTAGTACTCGCCCATCTGGGCTTCTCAACTCTCCTGGGATGCAAAGTCTCATGCAGCAGATGATGGAAAATCCACAGCTGATGCAAAATATGCTTTCTGCTCCATACACACAGTCGATGTTGCAAGCATTTGCAGCTGATCCAAATATGGCTGCCCAGGTTGTGAATAGCAATCCCTTGTTTGCTGATACTCCAGCTCTGCAGGTGAGTACTGAGGAAATGAGAACCACAGAGTTTGTTTTCCTTCCAGGGAATTTTCTATACTGAGAAACTTTTATGTTTAGAACAGTGATATGTGGTCCATGAACTGTGTGCGCCTATGTTTGGGTTTTAATTAGGTCATAAGATTTGAGGTTTCCATGGTGGTAGCAAGATTATTACTCTTCTGGGATGCAGTGCCATATAGTTTGGTAGAGGTGTACCAACAGTTAAAAAATAAACCTGTTTGCAGCTTCAGAGTAGAAGATCGAGGCTGCCAGTATCTCGAAACATAGTTTCACATCTATCAAATGACACTAAATCACATCCCAGAAGTACGTATTCTTTTATGTGGGCCTCAACATGAATGTTATACTTCCAGTACTTTGTCTTTGAGGTGAGGAATTTTAAATTTCAGGTAGAAAAATTAATAATGGAGATGAAAGGTTAATTGTCAGATTGTTCCATGTAGAATGATGATTGGACGCTGCTCAAAGATTTACACCTGTTTTAATCGTGAAGTAAAAGGTTTTGGTGTCCTCAGCTGATATGGTTTTATTTATGATTATACTCAGAGTAAGATATAGCTGGTTCTCATCTGCTGTCCAAAAAACACAAAAATTAGAATATACAAAACTATAATTTTGCCTGTAGTTCTGTATGTGTGTATGAAATTGGTCTCTGACATTAAGAGAGGAATATAGACTGAGGGTGTTTGAGAATATTCAGACAGAAGAGAGATGTAGTGACAGGAGGTTGGAGAAAAACTGCATAATCAGGAGCTTCATAACTTTTACTCTTCTCCAAGTATAATTAGAATGATCAAGTCAGGGAGGATGAGATAGGTATGGTATGTAGCACGAATGGGAAAGGAGAGGAATGCATATACGATATTGTTGGGAAAGCCAGATGGAAAGAGACCACTGGGAAGACCAAGGCGTAGGTGGGTGGACAATATTAAAATTAATCTTAGAGAGAGAGAGAGAGAGAATGGGATGGATTGGATTGATCTGGCTTAGGATAATGACCAGTGGAGGGCTCTTATGAATATGGTAATGAACCTCCACGTTCCATAAAATTCTGGGAAGCTCTTGAGTAGCTGCACAGCTAGAGGCTTCTCAAGAAGGGCTCAGCTCCATGAGTGAGAGAGTAAGTAAAGAGATAGCTGGTGTATTTTCAAGAGATAAAAGCTGGAAAGTTGGTGATGACTGAACTCTTCAAGATATGCTGCCAAAGATGAAGTGACCTAGACATTGAAACTAAATACCGGTCTTCACTGCATTTCTGGTGACTGCTGTCTCTGAGAATGCTGAAAGTAAGAATGTAGTAAGCTATACATCCGCTTCTCTATACACCATCAACAGATAAGCACAAGTACAGCTTCGCCCTACCTCTGTTACTGATCTGAACACTATGTATGTACAGAATTATTACAGTTCTCCAGTTTGTGAGATTGAATCATGTATTATTTTTCAGGAGCAAATTAGGTTGATGTTGCCCAACTTCCTACAGCAGTTACAGAATCCTGAGGTTCACAACCTGATGTCGAATCCACAGGCTTTAGGAGCATTGATGCAGATTCAGCAAGGAGTGGAACAGTTGCGTAATGTGGCTCCAGGATTAGTAAATAGGTAAGTTAACCATTTCCCATCCATTTTATTTCTAACTTCACTCCTACCAGCTACAACATAATTTACACAAAAATTTGAAAAAGGAAGTACTGATGTGGGAAGATATGAAATCCCTGTCGTCTGTTGTTGAAGAATGTAAAGAGGAAAGATAAATTTGTAGGTGGTGGAAGAAAATTTCCAACAGTGGACATGTACAGTAAAATTACAGTGCTGGAAATCTTCCAGCAGAAAATAGATAAGAAATGTGCGCAATGCATTGTGTATGGAAAGTTTCCAGTAACCAGCCCCTAAGCCTAGGCTCTTGAAATCATATATTCACTTAAAAACATAAGATTGAAAATATTTTATGTGTAAGATACTTTTTAAGCCCCCATGGTATATAGTATTATCCTGCCTTAGTAGTGAGAGGCAAGTTTTCCTGTACGTTTTATAAGTTATAAGTCCCTGTTCTTAATATTGTCATATGTCACAGTGACTAAAGATGTGGGTTTGGATTGGTAATTGGATTTATTGACTATTAACAGGACATAACTACAGTTAATTATTACACTGTTACGATTTTCACACTACAAAGCATTCCTCGCTACTCTCTTCAGTCTATCTCCACTAGTCTTCGCGGATTTATAACACAGGAACTATAGAAGTCTCCCTAAATCACACACTCCAAAAAACCACTGCACTGTAGCACACATAAAGTCATCAGGTCACTCGTTAAAACCTTCGCAGGCTGACGTCTTGTATTCTTCTCTACTCCTCCAGCTTACTGCTGTCCGTTTGTTTGCATTCTTCTACCACTGCTACTCATTCGTAACTTATAACTGCCCTGAAGGAATTCTGTCACTCATACTTACATGGCTGCAGACAGTAAGCAAATATTGTGTGATCACTATCCAGCCAGTCCATTGACGTCTGCTGTGTGGACATACAGCAAACACATCATGTGACTGCTACCTACTGTTGTGTGTCACCTCGGACACAGAAAACAAAGCTTCCTCTACTGTTGTGTGTTAGACTGTGTTTACAGAACTGTTGCCTGGCAACACACTGACCAAATCTGTTACATTATTGTAAACTCTTGAAACTAAATGGCAGGAGCATTTTGGTTGTGATATGTCTTTCTTCCTTCTGATAAAATAATAATGTACCCTTCTGATATTTGGTACATAAACATGCAGTGCATTATAGCGTATGCGCAGGAATTTATGCACAGTTTTTGCACACTTAAAAATGACGAGTCAGTGTTGCCCCAACCTGTATAAATTAGGTTTTGCTTTACAGATTGTTTGACACAGATTTATGCTCTTGGAAAATTGATGAATTTTGTATAAATGTTGCAATTCGAGCCTTTGTAATTTGACATGAGATTCTTGGAGAACAAAGGGACATGAGCAGGTCTTTCAATGAATTTCTTTTATTTTCCCCTTCTAATTGTCATTCTGCCACTGCACCATACTCAATCTAACACCACTTCCCGAGGTGTGTGATAGTGCTGATCAGGCAGCATAATAACACATTCCTGGTGTAAGCTGCTGCTTCATCTCTGACCCAGCATTTGACTGGTTATGAAGGAACAAAGTCTTAAAATTACATGTCAGTGTATGGCCAGTGAAATGCACATCTATTTTGCATGCTTGTGCTACCAAATGTTATAGTATGGGACTAGGACCTTTGCCTCCGTTTGGTGGAGGGGGGCCAGGCACAACCCCAGCCTCTCCAGCAGCACCAGTAACACCAAATGCCACACAAGGCACAGATGCACCAGCAAGTCCTGGTACTGAGACAACAGCCTCTTCTACACCTACAACCACCACCACAACCTCTACAACAGCAGGTACAGGAAGTGCTCCTTCACAGACCTCCAATCCTCAGCAGGATGTGTTCTCCCAGTTTATGGCCAGAATGGTATGTATTTATTATACTGACTGCCTTATTTTGCTGTAAAATTATTGCATTTTATTTTCCTCGCTTCATATACACACACCCTTGATTTGGATTAGCCAATTAGAGATTAACGCTCCTGATTCATACTCAGGGTGCCTGATGTTTGAATTTTGAACTAGTGACCAGTTATCCTGACCAAGGATTTCAGGATTTTCCTCAATCCCTCCAGGCAAATGCTGGAATCATACCATATCATTTTATAGTATGTTTTCCATCATTTCACATTTTATTTTAATGATCTCAGGTGAATAAACTCAGTGCTAAATTTTGTCCACTTAGATTTTCTCGGTATAGTGTTAAAATCCCCTGGTTCTGAAAGAAGCCTTAAGTAAGGGTTTCATTGTAATACTGTTTGTCATATCTTGGATGTCTTGCAGCGAGGCAGAATATTGGAATACCTCATGGCCACAAATAGAAATATTTAATTTTTAAAGACAGAATTAAAAAGAACGTAAAGCCTGGGTATTTAGAAATGACAGTCCTCCGACGCGGAGTAGGAGAACTATTGGTAGTGGTGGGGAGAGCTCCAGCATGCTGACAGGTGTGGAGGGAAATGCAGTACAGGCGTTCTCAAAAGGAAATAACTTCTTACCTCATTGTGTTGCATAGTGTTGGCGGTTTAGTCTCGATGATGTTCACACATCCGATGTTAAGTTTTAAGTTCAGAATGGCAGACTATTATGTACTATACACTATTATACACTTTTCACTGTTATATACATGAAGAGTTTATTTACATATTACACAGGTCTATTCTAAAGGGGCAACACCGGCAATGTCCACATAGATATCATCTCCACGTGCCTGCCCTTCCTTGTCACCACCAGATGAATCGGAGCTATCAGAACTGTCATCACTATCACCGCCAACATGGAAGACGAACTCCCGTCCTGCATCCAGAAGGCCTTCCCGTGCCATTAATTGTCGCTCAGTGTTCCTTACATGTTGGCACCTACGTTGCCATTCTTCTGCAGTTATGGAAGCCAATTTTTAGTCTGCCAGTTTAAAGATGTCATCCATCTTAAATGTGGTATTGTTTTGAACAACCCAATTTTTTACAGTGGCCCATATTAACTCAATTGGGTTGAGTTCTGGGTGATATGGAGGGAGTCGTAAATTATTGTGATTGTGTTCTACAAAGAGTCCATCTATTCTGTAGGAAAGGTATTTCGGCTTGAGTGGTAGGATCATATTGACTGGATTCCACAATGATGAAAAATCAGTGTTATTGAAGGTAATAGGTGGAAGGTGATATTTTAGCCAGGATATCATAAACTCCCTTCATGAATTTGAGTTAGGGGCTCTCTTTAGTTGTACATTATGGTAGGGAGCATTATCAATGACAAGGACAGAATTTGGGGGAAGGTTAGGAATAAGTCGCTCCTTTAACCATTTTTCATAATTGGTGTAGTTCATGTCACTGTGGTAGTCTCCTATTTTTTTTTTTTTTTTGTGG